CTCACTCACCTCCCTTTGCCCATGGGCAGATCCTTGTGCGCGTTTCAGCATTTGCTCCAGTTTCTTAGTGTGGTTCCCATCACTGTAGCGTCTGGGTTTGTTGGACTATTGAACAGTGCCGGCGGGTGGCAGGACTTCACCCTGAGTGTGAGGACAGGCCCCCAATGGATAAACAGCCCAAGGGCCTTAGCTTGTTGTTCTCTCTCTAGGTGGTGCTCGTGCAGAAGCCGGCAGCTACTTCACTACAGTGCCCCTGCAGAGGGCTGGGAATAAGACCGAGATTGCCCACAGCGTGCTGTTCTTGGCGAGCCCCTTGGCTTCCTATGTGACTGGAACAACCCTGGTGGTGGATGGGGGCAGCTGGCTGACCTCCCCTAACAACTTCCCCGGGCTGTTGGGTATTGCATCACACTCTGCTAAGCTCTAGGTGACTTGTATTTTCCCCTCGTGGGACTAGATACCCTGTCCGGGCCTGAGGCCTGAAACAGTCCTGCTCTGCTGCAAGCAACCCAGTGATACTGGCGCAGGCAGGTGTCGGGCACGGTGCTCTCCGGTCCCAGGCATTTGGGGTCACCACACGCTTGGCAGCCCTGGACTGTCTGCCTGGCAGGGGCTGTGTTGCAGTGGTCACAGTGGACCCCAAGCTGCCTGTTGGTCACGCTGCTTTGTCAGCATTGCTCATCGGGTTAATAGCTGCCCTGGTGCTGAAGTTGGATGGGGTGCGTCACATTGCAGAAGAGCCTCTGCCTTTCCCATGCAGACTTTCCAAAATCAGCAGTGGGAAATACCATGAGCTTCGCTGGGTCCCGTGCAGATTTTTCGTAGCCCGTGGCCGTGTGTGCATTTGGCTCCCAGGCATGTGGGGAGCAGAACTTGCTCTCCAAAGGTCCTGACGGTTCTGGGATACTTCCCCTGCCCACATAGTCCTAGTTGCTGGCCCTTGCTGAGGAAAATCAGTGGCACCAAATGTGGAGCTTCCTGGATAGGCCTCTTGGGAGAAGTCCTCATGTGTAGTTGGGGAACACAAATGGGTGATTATTAAACCTTCAGTCTCTCACATGCTTAGCTCCATTTCCCAGTCTCCTTCCCCAAAGCCCACACGCGAGGAATTCCAGGCCAGCTGCTTTAGTGTGGGCAGCATTAGAGAGTGTGTGCGCCAGAGGGTGCACAATGAAGAATCTGCCCCCAGATGTTCAGAGAAGGCAAGCCACAAACAGAACTCCAGAGAAAAGCCACATGGTGTAGACACAAACTGGAGGGGCTGGTGCATGCTTGCCCACTGAGTGGGGTGGGTCGTTGGCAGAGGGAATTAAACATGGGGTCCCTGGATTTTTCTGCCTGAGCAAAGGCCAAGCTCTGTTTGCCAATGCTGACCTGGGCTCATCATCCACTACAGTATATGCTGGGCGGGGGGAGCCCCACGCCGAGTGAGCTGCCCACCTTCACAGAATGCCCCAGAACTCTTAGTTACAGCTGGATTTGGTGACCACAGCTCACCTGATTCAGAGCTGGGATTTGAAACTCGGTCTGCCATGTCCCGGCCAATGATCAGCAGGCTGCAGAGTCAGTCTTGCTCTGGCAACAAGCTACTGATGTTTGCATGAAGGGGCTCCCTTTCCCCCAATCTCCCAGTGTTCTTGTTGAACCTTGCCTCGATCTAGGCCAGTCCATGATAGATTTTGTGTCGGTTTCATTCCGGGAATTCATTTGTCCTACAGATCATTGGGCCATGGAAGCGAAGAAAGGCGAATGATGGACAACCGGGGACTAACAGGACACTGAGCAAACACTACAGGCACAGGGTCAGAGGTGACAGCCATGACCTCTGTCCATCAGCTGTTGGGATGGCCTTGCCCAGGACAGAAGTGAAAATGGCCAAGTTGAAGATTCAGTGCATGTCTTGGTGGGGGAGGCTACTGGAGTCTTGTCCAGAGGGGAGCTGGGCCTATGTTTGCTCCTGATTTTACATATTGAAGCCGGTCTGTGTGGGGCAGGCAGGTTTTTGGAGTTGTGCTCCCCTTCACTTCGCTGTTTTCATTCCTGTTACACCAAGCCTGTTACGTGTCTGCTGAGTTGTCTTGAGAGCAGCCCTGCCACCCCTCTGTTCCAATTCCCAGTAGATTCTTCTCAGCTTTAACCTGTATACTGTCAATATCTCTCCACCTCCCTGGCAGGTAAGTTCATCTGAGCGACGTTCTCTGTAGACGGGTGTTCCAGGCAGCCAGAGGGTTATGCAGCATGTCGCCCTTCCCTGTTGCCGACTCAGTTCACTCCCATTCCAGCAGGATCTGTTCCGGAAACTTACTGCCAGCTTGCAGATGGATCTCTCTGTGGTGCATGCCACCGGGGCCAACCCTGAATTTCCATTCCTTTCCTGCTCCTAGATGGGCTAGTGAGCACAGACAGGAATCAATATTTCCAGCACTAAACATCACCTACAGCAAGTTGCAGATGGCCACTACCCACTGAAAGAAGCACACACCTTGTTGCCGCTTGGGAGCCAGAACACCAGAATTTCATAGAATCATAGGACTGGAAGGGACCTCAAGAGGTCATCGAGTCCAGCCCCCCGCCCTCAAGGCAGGACCAAGCTCCGTCTACAGTTTGAGTTGTGGGTCAGCACCCAAGGAAAATGGAAGCTTTTGAAGGAGAGGCCCAGGTGAGGTTTCTTTGCTTGCCTGTTGTGGGTCTTTGGCAGCAGCCCATGTGCCCCTGTAATACATCAGCACTTCTGGGTGCTGATCTAGCAATGGGCTGCATCCCGCAGAATGTTCAGCTCTAAAACGTACCATTTCTTCTCTGGTCACCCCAAATCTTCCCTAATGTCCAGAATCAGAGGCAAGTTTGAAGCCAGTATATCCATGTATCTCCTGCAGCTGATCCCGTCTCCAGTAGCTTTATGCCCAGATCCAAAAAGCAAGTTAGGCTCTGAACTTCCACAGAAATCAACAGAAGTTGGGAACCTAAATACCTTTATGTTCCTACGCCCTGATCCCCTTGTGCCTCAGTTTCTCTGGAAAATGGGGAGCAATGGGAGTAGGCTACCTCTCTGGGGTAGTGTGAGGTTTACAACCAGCCTGTAAAGAACTTTAAAGAAGAAATCATCTGAGTCAGGAGTGGGCAGTAAGCAAACTGCGGGCTGGGTGCACCCTACTGAATTGTCCAGCCCATGGGCTACTTATGGCCCACCCTTGATCTAAGTGCTGAGTGCTACCGTTCTCCTAGGCTTGGGTCCCAGCTTCTCAAGTTTCCGCCTGATACAGCAGATGTGCAGTGGGCTGGTGTACTGTATGGAATGCTAGGAACTGGAGGGGTGAAATGTCCAGAATTGATGTTGCGCGTTTGTGTTGCTGTTCTCTTTGACTTGGCATCAGCTAGCAGGATTCTGAGGCCCTGAAGTCAGACCAGCTTGTGGTGCACTCAGATCCTTACCAAAACTGGTCGTACGAGCCTTTATTGCTGCCGACTGGTGTATATGGAAAGCCAGCCTTGCCGCCTGTGGTTCTGAGAGGCAGAACCTGGTCCACACTGGGCAGGGGAGTCTTGCTGGCATTGTCTTTGGTAAAGGACTGAACAGAGCTAGGGAACTTTCTCCCTAACATTTGTGCCGATTTGATCAGACGCCACTCTCTGCCATGGAACAGCTGTTTTGCAGCGTTCAGAGGCTCTGGGGGGAAGGGGTGAAGTAAGGATGTGGCAAGTTCAGGGGAGGGGATGAAAAAGGGGTGGAGGCTTGAGAGGCGGGGTGGAAGGAGGGGGAGCAGGGCCTGCAGAGTGTGTGTGTGGGGGGGGGGGGGGGGGGGGGGGGGGGGGGGGGGGGGGGGGGGGGGGGGGGGGGGGGGGGGGGAATGTCACGTACCCTCCCAGCTAAAGCAGAAGTTGGTGCCTACAATTACAACAGTCTTGTCTCTTCTGTGTGGCTGCCTACAGCACAACCCTTTGGTAAATCCAGGGCTGGATTTTGGTGCCCAGCAGAACTAGATCCTTTCTTAACTGACAAATCCGCAGATCCTCCGCTGCACAGTGCGAGCTAGCACTGTACCACCGATTAAGCAACATGCTATGCACCAAGGGCGTGAGGGACTCTGCGAAAGGCTCCAGCAGGTGCATGGCAGCCTCTGGGCGCTTAGGAATAACTTCTCATCCGTTTCTAGTTTTGTAAAAGCTTGTTTCAGAAGATTCCGTTTCTCACTTGATTGTGGTTTTGCTGATTAATCCTCTGAGTTAACACTAAAGAAAGAACCCTCTCTGAGCTGTTGTGTGTTTGCCCGCCAGGGTCTTTTATTCTGCAAACCAACCTCTGCCTCCAGTCAGTGTGGGTTTGAAAAGACATGGTGCATTTTCATTTCCTCTCATGTGCTTAATAGCTCTTAGAGCAGCAGCCATTGGAGTTACAAGATCCAGGCCGCTCTTGGAGTGGAGCAGGTGACAAGCTTTGTGTGTGGGCCCAGGGCTCTGGAGCCAACCAGTTTGCTGCATTCAGAGCTAATGAAAACAAGACCAACAGGCTCCTTGGTGTAGCGGTGTTCTTCCTGCACCGCAAAGGATGGAGATCTGCCTTTTTCACCATGAGGGCCTGATCCAAAGCCCAGTGGCTGTGTAGAGAGGGTAATCGTAAAGCCAGAAGTGTTGCTTGAACACTTGTGAAAAACTGTGGGGTTTATAGTCGGTAGGATGGCCAGAGCTCTGCAGAGTGTGCATACACACCCATAAGAGAGGGTCTCTGGCTTTTCCGAGTCAATCTGCTATATATTAGCTAAAAGAGGTCATGTTACAAATACTTTCCCCTGAATACATGGGGGTTGCATAGTGGAGTCCCATGAGGCTTTGGGGCATTACCCCATTGGCTTCAGTAGTCTCAGCAATTGCCTCTCGCCTATCTGGCCAGGGATCTCAAACTCTGGCTGCCTCGGCGAAGGCCCCCATTATTGAGGAGCTGAGTCCAGAATCTCCTGCTGCCCTTGCTTGGGTCTGAGATCTAGTCCTTTGTGTCACCGGCATCCAGCCTTGGTACAGTGCTATCCTGCACTTGATCTAGAACTGCCTCTTGCTGCAAGATGCTCTCCTGTATCAGCCATGCCCGGTTACAAATGCACATCTGCCCTTTAGGCCTCTGGATTCTTCCGGTGAGAGAAACTTGGGACATAACCGTGGGGGAGAAAGCAATCAAATCAGCCACTTCATGCAGCAAATACAGGGGGCTGCAAAGTAAACTGCACAGCAGAGCAGGTCTGAGGGAAGCCCCATGCAAACCATGACATCCAAAGCTGACTGGTGGCTGAACTGACCCGGAACAGGCACACAAATTAGACATGAAATATTTGAAAAATGCAGACAATTGGCCACTAGAGTCCCAGTTTGCAAGAAGACGTCTCTGAGCGGGCCTGAAGAAGCAGCAGGATTTAGTGTTCTAGGAATAGAACTAGGGGACAGGTCTCTAAACATCAGTTGTAATGGGAATGAGAATAACAACTGATGCCTTAGTACAGACCCTTGGTAATCTCCAGCTGGAGCGCAGACTGTTCTCCAGAGTGCAGCAGGGAGCTACCGGCTCATTAAGACGTGGTTACGACCCTCACAGGACTTCTGCCAGGAAGCTCCAGGCTCCGTCCTGCTGCTGTTATTGTCAATGGGAATTTTGCTGTTGACTTCAGTGAGAGCGTTGAGTTCCAACTATGCTCCCCTTGCAGCTCTTTGCACGCACAGTGGTGTACTCTCCTCCACTCTTAAATGGGTCCTTTGCTCATTCAGCAGCAGAATCTTTCTGTGCTGGATCCCCCAGACGGCTAATAAGGCCGTGCCATTGTCAGCTCTCTTGTGGTGGGGCTGAGCAAGAGGAGTGGCTGTTTGGCAGTGTGAGTACTGTGGCGTGTCTATAAACGGAGCACATGTCTGGCCCCAGCATTAGAGCTAATCCTGCTTTTGGGAACATAAGTGCCTGTAGTGCCAGATTCTTTGGTAAGGCAAGAGGCTGATGCCCAGGTCTTGGATAATGCTCCTGCATTCTGACTTCTCACTTGTAGACACAGGCATTTCAGTTCTTGAAACAGCCGTGATGTCCACAGCTGCTCTGCTCTCCGGTGCTGTCTAGTGGTGCCTTTCTAAATTTCAATTAAGTTTGAAAGCTGCCATCAAGCTGGGCTTGAAATGGCTTGTCAAAATTGATTTCTCCAGGGAGCTAAGAAAGTAATGACCCAAATTTCCATTCCTTGGTGGAAGATGCAGTGATGCACTGTCAGCTGCATCTTCGCTGCATGTTCTGTCAGAGCGCTTCATTCAGAGACTGCTCTGATTTTTAACCAACGTTATTTTCGCACAGCACAGGAAGCTGTGGGCGATGACTGGAAGAAAGAAGTGATGTGCTGGTGAAAGGTCAGCTATTCGGAGGTCTCAGTGTGTATGTAGCTGTCATGGGAATTTTCCTTTCATGGATTGAGAACTGGTTAAAAGATAGGAAACCAAATGGTCCATTTTCAGAATGGAGAGAAGTAACTGGTGGTGTCCCCTAAGAGTCTGTACTAGGACCATCCTGTTCAACATATTCATAAATGATTTGGAGAAAGGGGTAAACCATGAGGTGGAAAAATTTGCTGATATAAAACTGCTCAAGATTGTGAAGAGCTCCAAAGGGATCTCACCAAACTAGATGACTGGGCGACAAAATGGCAGATGAATTTTAATGTTGATAGATGTAAAATAACGCACATTAGAAAACATAATCCCAACTATATGTATAAAATGATGGGGACTAAATTAGCTATTACCACTTGAGAGATCTTGAAGTCATTGTGGGTAGTTCTCTGAAAACATCCACTCAATGTGCAGCAGCAGTCAAAAAGCAAACAGAATATTAGGAATTATTATAAAAGGGATAGAGAACAAGACAGATTATATGTTATTGCCTCTGTGTAAATCCACGGTATGCCCACATCTTGAATACTACATGCAGATGTGGTCATCTCATTTCAAAAATACATATCTTGGCACCCATGCTTTTTTGCAAAGAAAAAGGTGCTGGTACTCTGGGGGGAAAGCTGTTGAGGAAAAAAAAAGCCACTCTGGGGCCAAAATACCATTGCGACTGCTTTAAGAGCTGCGTGTCCCAACCCAGCTTCTGTTGGGAGCCCAGCCCAGGAAAAGAGGTGCTGATATACCTGAGGGGATTGCCATTCATGTATGTTATGTGGGGAAAATAGGTGCCGGTATGCTGTCCCAGTGCGTACCATCACAAAAAAGCACTGCTTGGCACTGGAAAAAGTTCAGAAATGGGCAACAGAAATTAAGGGTATGGAACAACTGCCACACAAGGAGAGATTAATAAGCCTGGGACTTTTCAGCTTGAAAAAAGATGACCAAGGAGGACATGATAGAGGTCTATAAAATCATGACTGGTGTGGAAAAAGTGACTAAAGAAGAATTATTTACTCCTTCCCATAACACAAGAACTAGGGGTCACCAAGTGAAATTCATAGGTAGCAGGTTTAAAACAAATCAAAAGGAAGTACTTTACACAATGCACATCAACCTGTGGGACTCCTTGCTGGAGGATGTTGTGAAGGCCAAAGCTATTATAGGGTTAAAAAAAAGCTAGATGGGCAGAATGGTGTGCCTAGTCTCTGTCAGAAGCTAGGACCGGGAGACAGAGGATGGATCACTTGATAATTACCTGTTTTGTTCATTCCCCTGGGGCACCTGGCATTGACCACTGTCAGCAGACAGGCTACTGGGCTAGATGGACTTTTGGTCTGACCCAGTCTGGTTGTTCTTGTGTAGTGGAGAGAGATGGGACTGTCTCATTTGCTGAATAATTTAAATCCACTTCACTCTCATTAAGTTTTCTTGACTGTTCTGGATTGTTTTGTTGTTGTCCTCAGCTGAGGCGCCTCCCCCTCTGGTCAAACCCCCTTGTTCCGGAGCTCTTGGCTGGACAAAGAAATTCGTAGATTCATAGCATGTACATTCAGATGAGACCGTTAGATCTTCTAATCTCACCGCCTGTAAATCACAGGCCATTACATTTCATTGTTTCCCCTGAAATGAGCCTGATAACTTTGTAATTGAGATGTAGCCGTGTCAGTCTGGTCTTGCTGAAACAATAGACAGGACTATGCAGCACTTTAAAGACGAACTAATAAACCATCTTGTTAGTCTTTAAAGTGCTGCATAGTCCCGTCTTGTGATAACTTTGTATTTTCCCCAAATCATGTATGAATATGTTGAACAGGATTGGCCCCAGTATGGACCCCTGGAGGACACCACTGATTCCTTCTCTCCATTCTGAAAACTGACCATTTATTCCAACCTTTTGTTTCCTGTCTTTTAACAAGTTATCAATCCATGAGAGGAAAATTCACTCATCCCATGACTACTCCATTCATCTGAAGAAGTGGGCTATGCCCACAAAAGCTCATGATATTATCTACATGTTTTGTTAGTCTTTAAGGTGCTGCTAGACCATTTGTTGTTTTTTAACTTGTGTTTAACCAGCCTTGAATTGAAGACACCAGGAGATGGAGAATCCACCACTTCCCCTGTGAGTTTGTTCCAGTGTTTAATCACCCTTGCTTTAAAATGTGTGCCTTATTTCCAATTTGGATCTGTCTGCCCTCTGTGTCCAGCTATGCATTCTTGTTCTGCCTTTCTGGCTAGATTAAAGAGTCCGTTATTACCCAGTATTGTCTCCTCACGAAGGTTCTTCTCCCGCGTCCCCACAGTCTTATAAGCTACACAGTTTGGTAAGCTAAACAACTTCATCTCAGAAAGGTTCTTGCTAGTTGTGCAGAACTGTCTCAAGCCTATTGGAGCAGCCCCACAGCTCAAGCCGTAACATTCAGCATCTGGGAAATGGATCTGGATGTGCAAAGGGGGAACGGATGGGTGGTTTCTAGTCCCAAGCCTCCTTCCCTGATAGTGCACATGCTTCCCCTAGGGGGCAGCAGAGGACAGAGGCAGACGGCTTGGAAAGTTGCCCATAACTTCTGTTCACTGCAGATTCCCGTCAATGTCCAGGTGTTTTGTTTTAACCTTTACCTGGGAAACGTCTGTTCTGGCCAGTATTGGGGCCTGGAGGAGCCAGAGACAGACACGGTGCATTTGCATGTGTTGTGACAAAGCCGGCTGAGCATAGATGTGTGGGTTCTGAGATGAGATTTCCAGTACCCTCCTCTCACCAGCAGGGGAGAGAGAACCAGATCGTGCACTGGACTCAACAAGGTAGGTATCCTGCCTCCTACAATGGCTCAGAGCAAGGTGAGTAATACTGGCCAGCTGTGCAGTGCTTCCTGTGGGGGAAAGTTCTGCCTCCCACTGATGGGCTTATGCTGTGAGTCATGAACTCTCATCCCATCTGAGCTGGCATGGCACAGACGCATCATGAAGGGGTAAAGCCTCCCTTTGCTTTTAGCTAGCCACAAAATGTGACTCCATGGTACTTTCCCGCCTGTTGGAGGTTTTCCCCCAGCTTCCTAAGAATCCCTCCTTTCATGTAAAGGACTGGTGAAGAGTTTCAAAGCCAGCGAGGGGCTTTAGACCAGGGAGGCTGTGGAATCTGCACCAGTGGTTTTTAAGAGCAGGTTAAACAAACCTCTGTCAGGGATGGTGTAGATTGAGGTGGGGAACCTCCAGCCCGTGGGCCACCTGCATTTCATCAGGGTTAGCTTCCTGCAGCTCCCATTGGCTGGGAAGAGCAAATTGAGGCCAGCACGAGCTGAGAGTGGCTTTGCCTGCAGACGCTCAGGTAACCAAGTGTCTAGCAGCCTGTTAGTGGCTAACCCTGTGTGGCCAGTGTGCCGAAGGTTCCCCGCCCTGCTGTAGATAATACTTAGTACTGCACTGAGTGCAGGGGACTGGAGTAGACAACCCCTGCAGGTCCCCTCTTGGCCTGTGATTCTCCAAGGTCTGAAGACCCTGGATCCTGTTTCTGTCCTTGCTCAGTGTCTCCTAGTGGGGGGCAAAGAAGCAGTCTCAGGGCTGACAGGAGCCAGAGTGAGGGGGACACTAGCTCTCCTCATATTCTTATCCATGACACCTTCCTGGGAGGGGCTTCGCATCATCTTCCCACATATTTTACTCTGGATTAAATTGGTGCCGCTTTGGATAGTACATGTTAGTGCTGCCACCCTTTGGGATTCATAGTCCATGCTTGAGTGGAACAGGAAAGGAGAGACCAGGGGATGTGGCAGAAGCTTGCCCCAAATTTCTTGGCTCGTTGCTTTCCTGTTCCACTCCAGAAATGAAAACCTGCCTCTGGATCCGCTTCAGCACTTCTCGCATGCCTTCCTCACGCAGGAAGAGACCTTTGAACAGCTCCCATTAGATTTGAATTCAGCGCTGCTGGAGCTGTCCGGCTCCCTCCCTCCATGAAACAGGGAGGGGCGGGGAAGGGCTCACTTCAAAGCATGCTGTAGCAACGTCCAACTGAATGACCAGGTCAGATGGAAGCCAGGCACATGCATTTCTTGTTCTGAACCCTCTTCTGCCTGTGGCCAGTTGGTCTCGTCACACTTTTACACACATGGGAATCAGCTGGCTCTTCCCTCTCCCGTGTCCTAGCTGTGTTCATGCTCCTCCCATTACTTTGCTTCTGGAATTATGTGCAGATGTTTCTCCTGTCTGTGGTTCTGGCCTGGAATGTGATATGCCAGTGTTGGACACTCCTCTGGGTTGGCCTTTTGACCCGCTTTTGCTCCTGCCGTCACAAAATTCATGGCAATGTTTGTGCACATATGCCCTTCCTTTCTGCACAGCTCCAGACGTCACTTACTCATAATGCAGCAGACTTTTCCAGGCAGAGCTCTGCTCTCTTGTGGGGAGAAGAGAGATGTATCAGAACAAACTTCCTTCTAGCTGTTGCAGTGGTTGCCCAGTTGGTTTCTACGTTGGCCTTGTTCAAGAAATCCTTTTAATCACATACCAGCCTGTCCTGGCTTATCTTCTGTATATTTGAGAGATTGTCAGGAAGTGAGCAAATCTTGTCTGTTTGTCCATCTGTTCGTTCAAGAACTGCTCTTCAGAGCTAGGACCACCAGATGTGGGTTGCAACTTTCTCTTATCATAACTTAAAGCAATGTAAGGGTTTGGTTGTGCCAGGACACTGGCGTGTGCCTGGAATGTGACTGTTTTTCATAATGTGGAAAAGGAGGGGGCTGCTAGCAGGGACAGTTACACTGTATAATGCCCATAGGGGGCAGCAAGGGGCCAGAGATGGGGACCAGAATAGCTATAGCCTCACTGAGGCAGAAGGGGGCAGGGGTGGAGGTAAGCTTCCTGCCCTCCTCCCCCCCAGGCAGCACAGCTGCAGGGAGACACTGTGCAGCTCCTGCGCACACCCTGTCTGGGGCCCCCCTTCTCACCTCCCAATCCTGACTCCTGCACCTCCCAGCTCTCTGCCCTGAGCCCCTTCTCCTCTGCCAACCCTGACTCCTCACACCCCCAGCCCTGAGTGCCCCATGCCACCACGGTCCTGCCCTGAAGGGCCTGAACAACAACAATACATGTTCTAGTGACTTCATATTTTGAACGACATTTAATATTTGACAGATACACTTACAAAAGCAGCCAGTGACTTTTGGGGTCCATGTGAGTTACATTTGGATGGATTTCCAGAGGAGCCGACGACTCAGCTTCCATTGACACAGCCAGAAGATGGCAGCGCTCAGCAAAACTCCCATTGACTTAAATGGAAGCAAAATGTGGGCCCACCAAGTTCTTAGAAAGTCCCCTCTGCTGCAGCTGATTCGTAGTCTCAGCTGGCCAATCCACGGAACAACTTGTCTGTTCTCTCCCAGCCCGCATAGGCGATGGGTTCAAGAGCATTCAAAAGGACCCCCGTGTTCTGGCAAAACTCAAATTCCTAAACTGCCATTTAAAACTGAACCGAAGGCCACAGACTTTTTCACAATTCCCTTGTACGGTCTTTTCCTCAGACCATCTGCAGGAAGCTTCCTAACAAAGGCAGGGAGGGAAGGTGCCTTTAGTGGACGACAGGGGTGGTGGTTTTGCAGATAGATAGATAGTGGGTTTCCAGTTAGCACGTCTGACCTGACAGAAATAATAGAGCAAACTGAGAAACCCTCAGGTTCACTTAGGCTGGAAACAGTTAAGCCTCGATTCAGGAAAACATTGCTGTTCAGGAGAGCGCTGACGCCCGATGCTCGAATGCTGTTGAAGTTATTGGCACTTAAATGCTGCCAGTGATGTGCTTTCCTGAACAAGCCTTATGTGTCCCATTCGATCAAGGCTTCATTTACAATATTTGGCATTGAGCAATTTTCCCCCGGTTCCTTTATTTAGGTTCCACGAACAGCACCAACAGCTAACGACGTCCTCTGAACTATATAGTGAGACTGCAGCTAAGAAGTTTTGGTTTCGTCGTTGTTTCAACTTCCTTTGCTAAGCAGACTATCTGGAATAAAGCACACATCTCGCAGGCTGCTCTGAATGCAGTAACCACGCCCAGAGACAGGTTAGCATCCTCTTCTTTCCCAGTCCTGTTCATAGAAAATGGAAGGGGCAAAACTTGGTCATTTCAATAAAATGAGCAACCATGTTAAAGTCAGTGGCTGCGTCTAGAAAAAGTGAGAGCTTTTGCGGAAAAACTTGCCAGCTGTCTACACTGGCTGCTTGAATTTGTGCAAGAGCACTGAGGATCTGATGTAAGATTGTCAGTGTTCTTCCGCAAATACTATGCTGCTCCCGTCCGGGATAAAGCCCTCTTGCGCAAATGTATTTGCGCAAGAGGGCCAGTGTAGACAATTAAAAACTGTTTTGCACAAAAAAGCCCCGATGGCGAAAATGGCGATCGGGGCTTTCTTGCGCAAAACCACGTCTAGTTTGGCACAGACGCTTTTCTGCAAAAGGTGCTTTTGCGCAAAAGCGTCCATGCCAATCTAGATGCTCTTTTCCGCAAATGCTTTTAACGGAAAAACTTTTCAGTTAAAAGCATTTGCAGAAAATCATGCCAGTCTAGACATAGCCACCGTGTTTAACATAAAGACTATTTGTTCACCAACATGAAAATACTATCAATTATTCCAATATTGTTCCCTTTATATGTAATAATGTAGACACTTTACCTCTTCTCTAAACAACCTATCATATCAAGTGAACTGTCCCTAATTAGCTTTTCCTTCTGAAAAACCAACAAAAGAAACCCCCAGGGGACCAATTTTCCTGACAACTGTCTCGGCACACTAGTGACATCAGAGGCAAACCTGAACGAGCTTTCTGTTAGAAGCCTGATTTTGACCCACTTCTAACTTTCTCATGAAAGTTGTCTTCCTCCTGATGTTTCACATGCATGTCGGCTCTAGCCCCAAACGTTTTTCCAGCTGAACAGGCAAATCTTGAGGTTAATGTATAGCTTACCAAAGAGCTAATACTTTGAGAAAATGCAGATGTTTTGTTGTGGGAAAAGACTAGTGTCTTTGAAACTTCATCTCAAAACCAGCATGGGCACATTTCACAACTGCACGTGTGTTCAACACCTTTGCCTTTGGTGAGACCGAGTGCCTTTGGGTGTTCTAGATATTAATTGCAGAGAGATTTACTGTGACAGCTTAGGGAACCTTTGAAAACTCCACCCAATCCCAGAGAGTTTATCCAATTTGACAGTTAACTCTTTAGATGTCAGTTCTAATCTGACTTTGCAAAGGGCAAAGCTCAATGGGAACAGACATAGGCATTACGCTGTGACCAGTGTTTTCAGTAGCCAAAGTCAGTGGGAGCAGAGTTAAGCCAACCCTGAACAACTTTGAAAATCCCTCTACACTGCCCTTTCTTGTGCTATATATATATATATATATATATGCAAATGAGGCAAAGCGTGGAATATCACCATGCCTCATTTGCATAATTAATGAGGCTCCATTTTTATGCAAAAAAAACCTCTTGTCCAAGAGCTGTTCTTCCACTTTTTTTCAGAAAGAATGGCTCTTGCACAAGAGGGGATTTTCTGCAAAAAGGAACCATGTAGACAGCTCCTTTTTGCACAAAAGCCTCTTGCACAAAAACAGAGCCTCATTATGCAAATGAGGCATGGCGATATTCCATGCTTCACCTCATTTGCATTTTTTTGCGCAAGAGAGGGCAGTGTCGATGTAGCCAAGTCTGGCACGTTCTACGGGTTGCACATCTGTACCAGAGGCCAGAATTAGGCTGAAGATATGGAAACTGACATTACTAGCTAGAACTCACAATGATAGACTGACAAAGTATTATCATTACAGGGCATTTCATATTAAAGCTCATGGGTCCATTTGAAAAGCATTGATTGAAATACCTGACTGCCAGCTCAGGATATGTACATCTTTAAATCAAATCTTATAATTGGTAACTGTCCTGACTCAGTATTAAATGCAGGAAGCAGCCTAATTTCCCTCAAAGGTTTTTTTTTTTTAATCAATTATACATAATGCTCTCCAATTCAGGCTGGTGTGCATAACTAACTCATGAATAAATAAAAAAGCCGCACGAGAATACCCTGATATTTTTCTGGTTACTGTATGGCTAGAGCCTGGCAAATCCATGGACATCTGTTTTTATCTGCAGGTATTTGCATCCTTGGCTGTGAATATGGAAGTCTCTGGCTCATTTTTGCAGATATGGATGTAGATGTGGATACAAATTTTGTATCTAGAACCCTGCACATTTGTGGATATCTGCAGCTTATTTCTGCAGATACAAATTTTGTCTCCATCCTAGGCTGTATGTACGGGTAGCTCTAAAGTCACTAGCATAGGAATGACTATGCTAATGTCTGCGGTAAGCCTCTGGCCATGCCAGCATGAATGAGTTCAGAAGTCCAAAAAAACTGAAGCCAAAGAAAATGCTCATGGAGGCGCAGAGTGCTCCTAGCCTTGCTCAGCAGGGCTAGGATCATAACTTTGCGTCTGGGCAATATGGCAGTATAAAGCCCTGATTTTGCAAACACTCTAGGCTACCTGGACAAGTTTAATCAGTTGTACTTGTATAATTAAATTGCTATAGTTATATCAGTGTAAACCGCCATGTGAATGCTCTTTGGCCAGGTCTACACTAGCTCTGTAAGGTCGGTTTAAGGTATGCAACTCCAGCTACGGAGACTACATATGCTCCCGTCAGCTTCCCTTACTCCTTGTGACTGAGAGGAGTACAGATGCTGGCTGAAGCTGACCTCAGCATTCGATTGATGGGTCTATATTAGACCCGCTAAATCAAACACCAGAACGTCGATCTCCGGCATGGTGAGTGAAGACATGCCCCTATTCTGGAGTAAGATTTTGTTTAGTTTAAACTTTTCAAAATAACATGAACAAATTGCAATACCTTGGAATAAGACTGTACAGAAGGGGTTATACCAGTATAATTATAGTGCTTTAAAGTCACAGATTATGCCACTGTGAACTTTGCTGCATAGATAATCCCTTGAATGCACGTATAACTTTACTCATGAGAACTAGCCGGTCCAGAAATGTTACTCATGTACATAAGGGTTTGAGGCCTGTAAACATAACTAATTAAATAAAAATTCAGAGCAAACTAGATATATCTATATTTATTTCTCTCTCTCTCATATAAGCTTAAACTATATTTTTCCCTAATGAAGTAGGATTCCTCACTTTCTCCCCTCTTGTGCACAATTACCCTTCTGTAAAATGGGAGTGTTGTGAAGATTTCACAAGCCTCTCTCCATTTATCACTGAAGGCATTGGGAGGCTCCCACTCTGCCCTGACATTTCATGAATGGGCATGTCAAACGTGAAGTGGTGTTCTTGCCTATCCCGAGGCCATGAATGCATAGAATACATTAATGCTATTTTTCAATTCATGCTCGTCTTAAATTTGATTCTTGATGTAATTATTGATACTAAATAATTAATACTTGGCTAGGATGAACCAGTTGTATTGACAAAGTACGTGGTTTTTTTAGTTGTGCTGGCATGATGCCCAGTTGTTTAATGATGATGGAGTGTCTGATGAATGTTCATGTTTGAGGTCTCAGCTCAGTCCAATGTGATTATTGCAAACATGGGCTCCTGGGACCGATAAAATGTCCCTGACTGTTGCAGGCTGACAGCCTTGTTTTGTACTGTTTGGTTTTGCATGTACAGTGTTAATATGCCTTGCTTCAAAGAGGTTAGCAGCAACATGTCAGTTCTGCTCCTACCTTATTTTGTCAGGGGCTGATGTTGCTGCATTGCTGGGATCAATCCAACATGCTTTCAAGTTTGACTTTAGCGTGTTTTTGGATTGTGTTTACCAACCACCGTAGGAGCGTGTACCTTGTGTTTTAGCTGATCATAAAAATATAGCTTGAGATGACCATACAAACAAGAGGCCCAGGCTACGGCACATGAGTTTTAAGAACATATTTGGAATACTAGACATGCAGTAATGGATTTCAAGATTGGGAATCTTCTCCTAGCATTTGAAGCTGCAAACTGCTCTAAGAAAGTGCATACAGTACCGATCAAGTTGCCTAAGGTGGTGATGTGTTGTCCGTGTCTTGCCCATGTCTCATGGCTGCCTGGGAGACATTTAGCGTTGTGTGTTTTGATGCTTTTATCATTCCAGAGGTGCTGTGACAGCATTCTAACGCCAGGGCTGGCCTTGGCTTTGAGGTGTAACATCATCATCAGCTGCGGCATGCCATGAGAATTCCTTTGTACGTGCAATCTAAAATGAAGATTATAAACATAACACCCCCGCAATAACATTTTTTTAGGTGACAAATCTGAGGACCTGTTCCAGATTGAAGGGTCATTAGAGGAGGTTTCAGAACAAATTGATAAATTAAACAGTAAAAGTCACCAGGACTAGATGGCACTCACCGAAGAGTTCTGAAAGAACTCTAATGTGACATTGCGGAACGACTAACAGTGGGTTGTAACTTATCTTTTAAATTTGCTCCTGTACCAAATGACTGGAAGATAGCCAATGTGACACCAATATTTAAAAAGGGCTCTAGAGGTGATCCTGGCAATTACAGGCCAGTAGGTCTAACTTCAATAGCAGGCACATTGGTTGAAACTGTACCAAAGAACAGAATTATTAGACACAAAGAGGGACATAATGTGTGTGTGTGGGGGGGGGAGTCTACATGGCTCCTGTAAAGGAAAATCCTCCTCACCGATCTACTAGAATTATTTGAGGGGGGGGTCAACAAAAGCATGTGGACAAGAAGGATCCAGTGGATATCATGTACTTGGATTTCCAGAAAGGTCCCTCACTAAAGGCTCTTAAAGTGAGCTGCCATGGGATAAGAGGGAAGGTCCCCTCATGGATTGGTCACTGGTTAAAAGAGAGGAAATGGAGTAGGATTAAATGGTTGGTTTTCAGAATGGAGAGAGATAACCAGTGGTGTCCCCCAAGGAGCCACTCTGGAACCAATCTTATTCAACACACTCATAAATTATCCGGAGAAAGGGGTCAATAGTGAGGTGGCAAATGATACAAAGATAGTCAAGTCCAAAGCAAACGGTGAAGAGCCTCAAAATGATCTCTCAAAACTAGGTGACTGAGCAACAAAATGGCAGATGAATTTGAATGTGGATAAATGCAAAGCAATGCATATTGGAAACCAATCCCAACTAGACACATAAAATGAAGACTAAGTTAGCTGTTACCACTCAAGAGAAATCTTGGAGTCATTGTGGATTGTTGTCTGAAAACATCCACTCAGTGTCCAGCGGCAGTTAGAAAACCAAACAATGTTAGGAATCATTACAAAAGGGACAGTGAATAAGACAGAATATCTTATTGCCTCTGTATAAATCCATGGTACACCCATATCTGGAGTACTGTGTGCAGATGTGGTCACCTCATCTCTCAAAAGATTCCTTGGCATTGGAAAAAAGTTCAGAAAAGGGCGACAAAAATTATTAAGGGTATGGAACAGCTGCCATATGAGGAGAGATTAATAAAACTGTGACTTTTCTGCTTGGAAAAGAGATGACTAAGGGGATATAATAGAAGTCTAGAAAATCATGACTGATACGGAAAATGTGCCTAGAGTTAGTTACTCTTTCCTATTACACAAGTACTAGGGGTTAGCAAATGAAATTAATAGGCAGCAGGTTTAAAAGAAAACAAAAGGAAATATCTTTTCCCCACAAAACAACCTGTGGAACTCCTTGTTGGAGGATGTTGTGAAGGCCAACACTATAACAGGGTACAAAAGAGAGCGAGAGAAATTCAAGGATTGGTCCAGCAATGGCTATTTGCCAGGATGGATAGGAATGGTATCGCTAGCCTCAGTTTGTCAGAAGCTGGGAATGGGCGACGGGAGGATTCCCTGTTCTCTTCATTCCCTCTGGGGGACTTAGCATTGGCCAGCGGTGGCAGACAGGACGCAGGGCAGGATGGGCCTTTGCTCTGACCCCCATAGGGCCTGGTGGTTCTTAGGTGAGACACATACAAATACGTACTAGTTTGTTTGGCCCCACAACCCCACCCCACCCTGCAGACGCTAGTTACTGGGCGAAGAGCCCCACCACACAAGAGCCCCTGCAGTCCAGCTGGAGGCCCTGGAGACACATACAAATACGTACTAGTTTGTTTGGCCCCACAACCCCACCCCACCCTGCAGACGCTAGTTACTGGGCGAAGAGCCCCACCACACAAGAGCCCCTGCAGTCCAGCTGGAGGCCCT